GGGTCTTCTCTGGTTCCATGTGAAGTGTAAAATTATTTTTTCTGTATCTGTGAAAAATGATATTGGTATTTTAATAAGGATTGCATTGACTCTGTAGATCACTTTGGGTAGTATAGACATTTTAACGATGTTAATTCTGCTGACCCATGAACATGGTATGGTTTTCCACCTGTTTACGTCCTCTGCTATTTCCTTCGTTAGTGCTTTGTAGTTCTCCCTGTAGAGGTCCTTTTACCTCCTTAGTTAAATATATGCCTAGGTACTTAATATCCTTCACAATAGCAACAAAGAAAATAGAGTCTTTGATTTGGTTCTCAGTTTGACTGTTGTTGGCGTATAGGAATGCTATTGACTTCTGTACATTGATTTTGTAACCTGAGACTTTGCTGAATTTGTTTATCAATTCCAGTAGTCTCATGGCAGAATCTTTGGGGTTTTCCAGGTATAAGATCATATCATCAGCAAAGAGATAGTTTGACCTCTTCTGCCCCTATTTGGATGCCCTTAATTTGCTTCTTTTGTCTGATTGCTCTGGCTTCCAGCACTCGGTTGAATAGAAGTGGTGATAGAGGATAACTTTGTCTAGTTCCAGTTCTAAGTGGGAATGCTTTCAGTTTTTCCCCATTCAGTATGATGTTTGCTGTGGGTTTGTCATATATGACTTGTATCATTTTTAGGTAAGCCCCGTCTATGCCTATTTTGTTAAGCGTTCTTATCATAAAAGGGTGTTGAATTTTGTTGAATGCTTTTTCTGCGTCTGTTGAGAGGATCACATGGTCTTTGTTTTTGCTTCTGTTTATGTGATGAATTACATTTAGAGATTTGCGTATGTTGAACCATCCCTGCATCTCTGGGATGAAGCCCACTTGGTCATGATGGATTATTTTTTTGGTAAGCACCTGAATTCGGTTTGCTGGGATTTTGTTGAGATTTTTTGCATCTATATTCATAAGGGATATTGGTCTGTAGTTTTCTTGTTGCGTCCTTTTCTTGTTTTGGTATCAGGGTTATGTTGGCTTCATAAACTGTGTTGGGGAGAATTTCTTCCTTCTCGATGTTGTGGAATAATTTCTGCAGGATAGGCACCAGTTCTTCTTTGTAGGTCTGGTAAAATTCGGATGTGAAACCATCTGGTCTGGGACTTTTCCTTTTAGGAAGGTTTTTTATTGCTGTTTCAATTTCAGTACTTGATATTGGTCTGTTCAGGAAATGTATTTCTTCTGATTGAGCCTAGGGAGGCTGCGTGTTTCTAAGAATTTGTCCATTTCCTCCACATTTTCCAGTTTATGTGCATAAAGGTTTTTATAGTATTCATAGATGATATTTCTTATCTCCGTGGCATCAGCTGTAATTTCTCCTCTTTCATTCCTGATGGAGCTTATTAGAGTTCTTTCTTTTCTGCTTTTCATTAATCTAGCCAAAGGCGTGCCAATTTTGTTTATTGTTTGAAAGAACCAACTTTTTGTTTTATTAATCTTCTGTATAGTTTTTTTGTTGTCAATATCATTTAGTTCTGCTCTGATCTTATTTATTTCACTTCTTCTGCTGGGTTTGGGGTTGGTCTATTCATCCTTTTCCAGTTCTTTGAGACGATTCATTAGAGTGTTTATTTGTGATCTTTCTGTTTTTTGGATGTAGGCATTTATGAAAATAAATTTTCCTCTCAGGACTTCTTTAGCTGTTTCCCATAGATTTTGATAATTTGTGTCTCCTTTGTCATTTAGTTCAAAGAATCTTTTGATTTCCATCTTGATTTCCTTGTTAATGAAATAATAGTTCAGCAGAAGGTTTAGTTTCTACAACTTTGTGTAGAGATGAGAGTTTCTGTTGGAGTTAATTTCTAATTTTATTCCACTGTGGTCTGAGAAGATATATGGTATAATTTCTATTTTTTTAAATTTTTTGAGACATGCTTTGTGACCTAGGATATGGTCAATCTTAGAGAATGTCCCATGAGCTGATGAGAAAAACATATATTCAGTGGTTTTTGGGTAGAATGTTCTATAAATGTCAGTCAGGCCCATTTGTT